GATTTCATAGTGTGTTATTCAATCACTTATTACGTACAACAAATAAATATTGTATTGCGTATTATTTGTCGCTACCGAAAAAAAACAGACATAAGAATTTCGTATTTCTTCTTTTCATCCATTACCATTTTTGACTGAGTTAAATACAATGAAGATATAAAAGATAGTTGATACTTTAATGGTTACCGGATAACAATAATAATGGTAATACTATCACTAATACTACTACTACTACTAATAATAATAATAATGATAAAACGCGTAATATTCCATCGTACGATTAGCTTATATAGAGTTCGAATATAGATATATAATAATAATAATAATAAAATGTAACTTTGTTCATTGATTGTTATTATCATTAATTATTTTGTTATATTCATTGACTTTGATCTGTATAATAATTCAACAAAAAGATACAATACAAAGTATACATGTTTTTAAACAAGTTGGTCAAATTATCTGGCAAACTATTATATATATCAGTGATCTTGATAGCTGTCAGAGGTATGAGGGCAGTTATCACTTCCTGGCTGCCCGCACCGTGGAAGAGTTCTTCAGGAGGTACCTGAAAAGGAAATCGGATTAGAAGTGGTCTTAATGACCTGAGAGCGTGACCGCAGTACCTAAGGGACAACTGTTTCAGGTCGGTCACATACGACCTTTTTGTGTTAGCTCCGTACTTGTTGGGACCTAACTGCCGGAGACGGATCAGTGTGATTACGAGAACCTCATAAGAGACAAAGGTGCAGACGCCATTACTTAAAAGATTTGTGTTGTTAATTATTCAGATCATTGAGGAAAAAAATTTTATTATACTGAAACACTGTCCTGTGTATTGGCCAGGTTAGCATTATTGTATATATATATATATATATATATATATATATATTGATAATACTTAAGTCGTAGAGGATAACTTTGAATTCAAAATAGATCGTTTACTTGAAAGTAGTTGCTCACATAATAACGTCTTTACTAATTGTAATAAAAATGTATGCAATTGATTAGACAAAGAAGGTACAACAAAGTTGTTATATCCCGTGGAGATTTATGAATGATAACTCACAGAACTATCTACGGACCAATATAATACGTATATTTCCTATTGCATAATTGTTAAGTAACTTAACTATTCATATTCGTGTTCCTCTTATTATAAGCTTTATTTTGACCTACAGACTATTATTATACGATTTACCATTCTTGAGTTATCCCCAATCTATTGATTACTGTTCCCCCTATTCACAGCCACATTTGGCCAAATCTTGTACAAATGTTATTTTCTATTTTATGGTACGATGTGGTCTGTTTGATTGATTGAGAATAGTGATTCATATTGAAGAGGCTGTTATTGGTATTCTGGACTGAACTGGCTGGGCTAGGCAGAAAGCAGGACTGACAAGTAATCAAGACTGCTCATAACGCTTTTGTGTATCATTGGGTGATCGATAAATTCGCTGCTCTCTAATTGGCGGTTATATCACTCATATATTAAACAGGGAACGCAGTCAATCGATATAACAACTGGGAACGCACACGACATAACAAAAGTACTGGCAGTGTGTTCAAAATTATAGTAACGAAAATCACAAAGGATTATATGAAAGTATATTTAAATAAGTTACGAATAACTTTCGTGATATTAAACATTGAAATATTCTCCAGTGTTAAATTCATTATATGAAATAACTAGATAAATTGATCCATTGTTGCTTTAACCCTTTCTCTTTATTGACCTTCTATGTGAATTTCAGATACTTTATGGTTCATATAGTAGATACTTAACTAATATTTAGTAATCTTAATAGTTAAGATCATGAATCAATTGAAGCTAGACAACCGTGGAAAACCTGGAAGCACTAGACGGCCGTTTCGTTTTATTGTGGGACTCCTCAGCAGTGCGCATCCACGATCCCGCCTATCGAGATTCGAACCCAGGACCTATCGGTCTCGCGCACGAGCGCTTAACTTCTAGACCACTGAACCGGCATCCAACGGTGTTAATGCCTAACTTCAACTAACTCACAAAATTGAGCAACACATCCACCATTGTCTTCAGTGAGTTAATCTCTTACAACAGACCCGGTTGAACTCCACTGCTTCTCACTAGAACTCCAGGGAATACCTCCTGAAGCCAGTCACTAGTGAGCATATGTTGATTAATATCAGAAAGGATTTTTGTGGATATTATTGCTTCAAATGACTCATGATCTCAACTATTAAAATTACTACAATATACACAAAAACCCTTTCTGATATTAATATTTAATAATTTATTCGTGTATTTAAGCGAATTTATTGAAAATTCATTTCTTTCGAAAAAGATCCTACCCAATTACTTGATATACTTTGTGATTGGAATTCCATCAAAACTGTTTTGGTGTTTGTATAAAATGATAAATACATTGCATATAGTTACACGTTTTAGTTGTATGTCTGTTATACCCAAGTGGATCACCATTGTTTCCGCTGTCCTACTGCTTATACTCGGAGACGAGAACCACCGTAGTTTCTAAGACGCAAAGTAGGACTGGTGTGGATAAAAATTTATTGATGCTCCAAAAACACGTTATTAGACCAAAAATATACGGATTTTCACACACATTTAGTAGTGTCACATATAGGGAAAAATATAGTCACCGAATATTGAACAAAATTCCTAGTAAATTGGAACAAGAATGTTGACCTGAAAGAACGTCACAATGAACAAGAGTTCGCATCTGTCATACTGAATTGATGCGAAATATATTGACTTGAAATGATGTCACATTATCGCGTCGTATCGACAACCTAATAAAACACGTACATGAATACTCACGATCATTCTTAGTCCTCGAGCGCTGATACATTCGTAGGTACTAAAAAACATTTGGATAGACCTGGGAGTTTCTATATCGTTAAAAGTATATAATACTATTGCTCATCCTAGTACATATTCATCCTTGATAAAGTATATGTCTCATTTAACATAATTTCTACTTACTTTGAAAACTGATAACGAACACCTCAAGCATTCTCGTTGGATTTATGATCTGTAATAATCTATGCAGCAGTTACTCAGTATTATGAGACATAAGAACACATAAACACTGGGACAAGGGGATACCAAACACATATACGCCATACAATAACAATAAGGCCACTAGAATTACCATTGATTTGTGTAAGGGCTGTGATACTGCCCAGATGCCCAAGCAGAAGCAGGTAGGTTTCTTAAGAGGCCACACACCGAGCCTTCGACTTAAAGGTCTAATCCACAAGACAGAGGAGCAATGTAAGGAGATGCAGTCCCATGGTAGCCGATGACCAACAATAGGTCCAAACGCCATTTGTCCCTTCAAGATCCCAAACCCCATTGGCTTGGAATAAGGGTTTTCCAACCCCCCCTAGGTGGATCCTGCATATCCACCAACCCAGTTAAAGCACCGGACATTCGCTTTTCGTCCTCTCAATTTTGTAAACACCTCTACCGCGAGAAGACAGTGAGTAGGACTTCCTGGCATTGGCTGTATACGCGTGACTATTCGAATCTTCCTATTGTCTTTTAGGACTACAGTTGATCAGTCTCTTATTGGCATCCTGTGAGGATTGTCTCAGTGTCGCCTTAAATCACAAGCATTATAAACAGAGATGAATGGTGGCTAGCGGTAGAATGCGTTTCGTTGTCCTCGAGACACATCAGCTGGGTGTACCTGCACCTGACTATTTTTATTATAAACAACCATGAATCACTCCCCTCTCGTACATCAGAGCCAATGAGTGAACTAATTCGTTTTAGGTCCATTGATATATTCAATTAATTAATGTGGTTTGAGGATAATCGTCAAGTTACATGATGAGTTGAAGGGAAATTGCATTCCAACTTAGTGATCTAAAGGTATTAAGCTTACCATAAGGCTATTAAAGTGTTAGGTTTGATCCCGTTTGAATCTTAGAAAATAGAATGTGCATATAGCTGGGAATGGTCAAATTAAGACTATACAGTTACCCAGTTTTTAATGCCTTTCAGATGGTGTTAGTGAATGACGAGAACTACTTTCTCTTTAATAGTTTCGGCTAGTTGAGAAAACTTTAACCAAATTAAGTCCTCATTTGTTGATGTATTTATTAAATAATTACTAACTTCCACAGATTAATGATCATAAAATGTAACCTTTAAGATTTATTATCATGTTTTTTATCACTGATTAGTCCAACTTCCCATATGAAGCAAGTTACACTGGTCGAAGCTTTTGTTTTTTAAGCATATGAATATCTTAAAGCATGACCGTGCGAATGTGTGGTTAAGATGGTAAAGACTTCAACTTTGTACATATTTTGAAGGTTAGGTGACACACTATAAAAGCTTTATGGTGGTTAAAGGATATTAAACAGAAATGAAATGTTTTTAGATTTCTTCTTAGTATTTACGGAAAAAACTTATGTACTGGAAATACAAAGCGATTTCATTATCTATGGGAATATCTTACCTTATTTTAAAAAAAATATTAAATCTAATTGGCATTGTAAGAAAAGGATACGTTGCTTAATAAGAAATTCTCGAATGTCTATGTATGTTTTCTGTTAATAACGTCGACCAAAGTTGAAGTGTGAATAAAACATTCCCCCTATTTATAGCCATTCCCATATGATTTTTATTATATCAACTCGATATGTTTATAAAGAATTTCTCCTTAAGGGCATTTCTAAACATGTTTGGTTAGGTTTTTATCAACAGACTATGGACATAGTTTGTTTGTTCCATTTCTTAAGCAGGACCCCTCTATTTGTGAAAAATAAACATTGTGTATCAGCTCAATAAATCAAACCTCAGATATTGTTAGTGAGAAGATATTGACAACATGGAAAGTAAAGGATTAGAAATAATAATATCAACAATAGCAGAAATACATGTACATACTCACACGCACCTCATTCGTATTTTGAAATTACAAGATATTAGTCAAAACATCACAGTACTACCTCCTAAAAAAATAAGTAATATATATGTATATAACTCAAAAGAAGCGGTAAATTAGCAGAAACACAACACAACAGCCGATGACTAGCCCCAAAACAATTGAGTCTTGTTTGTGTCTCCAGTCAATTTTATTGATCAGTTTCTTTACCTGTGGAAAACGGGAGCTTAAACTCGATAGGCCTGTTGAGGCAGTACGTAGTGCGAAGCGTTGGGCACGTAATGCTGCTCGTATTGTTGATGCTGCAGCTAAATGTTCATCCAACAGACGATTAGAGCGATGGTATTTTTCTTGTTCATCCAGAAGTAAACGAGTTGAACTAGATATATTTGACTGTAAACCGGAACGTTGATTACCACCGGAAGAATCTACATCAGATTGAGGTTTTGAAGTAAAATCACCGCTTAGATTTACAGTTGTGGAGTTTGTATCTCGATAAACCTATATTTTAAAGGAACAAAACAACGTGAAACACATATAAAGAAGAAATACTAGAGGAACACAAAGAAGAAATATCGTTCGTAATAAGCAACACATCAAAAGATGTGGTGTCTTATTAAACAGCAATTAAAGACCAATTTATGCCCATGGTTGTTTTTGAATATCACATTGTCTGCTCGGCATCTCAGGATTCACGGATTGGCTAGCCTACAATACATAGCCTTATTTGTGCTTACTACTTTTATAACAGTGACAGTGTATATTACAGAAGCTAAAGTAGAAGATACGTGTATTGAAACCAGAATCTTATACATAGTGGTTAAAATGCTCAGCATTCAATTACTGAATGTCAGGCCCAAATCCACTTTACCTACATCGATTTGGAAAACTGATTCGTATCATTACCCCTTCTCGGAAATTGTGGCTTGAAGACAAGTACGTAAACTAGTACTGAGTAAATGAGTCGGATTTAATATTTAATACTGGCATTGAGAGTTTACTCAAACATTCTTGTAATGTCACTCAAAGAGTGCAGAAGGTTTAATCTTGCTAATAATTCTACCAAACACTACTGTATATTGGAAATCAATGAAAGCATAGAGACAATAGACTATTTTTTTAAGGGAAATATCCACAAATTATAATCTACGTTTTCTTGATTGGATATCATTATTGTTTGTGGGCTGTGAGACTGTTTAGCCCCTAAGAAGGGACAAAAAAGGTGTCGTTTCAGTGAAAGAAAAAGAAAAGCCACAATGGACGCTATTTGATACAAGCAAGTCATAACCTTAGAGGGATTCGAAGCTAATTCATCAAGATCAGTCGCTCTGCATAGCTTTAAATTAGTTAATGCAATCCAGTAAAAAACTTCAGATTCTTGTATTCAAGTTGTCAGTGGATAGTCAGCGAATACTTAGGAGTAACTGAGGTTGCCGTACAATATCTGACATTCGTTTAGTAATGCAAGATGATTTCGTAAGAATTTACATCAGACAGAGGAGTAATGTACAACTTCATCCCATACGTCTACGTCTGCTACGCCTAATGATAACACAAAGTCGAAATTAACAAAAGGACGCTGATAGAGTAGCCAGATGTGAAATATTTAATTAAGGATAAACAGTGAACACGATTCAATACAAGTGGTTTTGAGGTGCATCACCAGGACCCTTCAAACGCATATGCTGACTAGTGTAGGGGATGGTTGGAAAAAGTAAGGGGCGGTCAAACCAAAGCGTGGCATCAAAGCTTGAAGTCACTTCTAGTCTGAGCCATGTTGGTAGATGCAGATTACCTGGTTGGGGCTCGCGTGACTATCGTAACCAATGGTTGGAGACTCTAGGTGACATGGCTCAGAATCGATCACAATGACGTAGGTGTATACACTCTTTATCTTCCCTTAAACCTTGAGATTAAAATTGCTTCATAACTTTCTTCCTTCCTATACTATATCCTCCTATACAACCTATCTTTTATATATTACCACCAATACATTAATTATTTCTATGAATCCGGTGTTCATCTTGATGTGCTAACGAGGTATGGCAACTTGGACCGATGCATATATGTGCCTGGTTCTACGTTGTAGCTGACTGACTGACTGAAACGCATTTGTCTCAAGTTCAAAGGATCAGTAATAAAGGTACTTATAATTTCCCATGCATATATTCAAGAAAAACCCTTAAAATAACAAAAATTACTTACAGATCCTAAAAGGTTTTCACGTTCACGTGCAGCAATGAGTTTGGCCTTAGTTTGACGAAACTCTTGAGCATAATCACGAAGAATTTCACGATGTCGTTTAGCTGTATGCAGTTGGCTAAGTCTACCAGCTGCCATATTAGTAGGATTAAGTGGGTTTCGTGCAGCACTGTCAAAAGAGGTAGGTGTAGCTTCTGTTTCAGGGACAAAAGTTGCCATCCGTTCATTGATTTGAGTAAGTCTGTATATTAACAAGGTATATTAGATAATATGTGTCTGTGAACATAACATCCCTAGTGTTTAAATAGATTTGGACGAAATATCAATGAAAAATACCGTAACTGGGTTCTATTTACTGAGGATGAGTCTTAAACTAAAAAGAAGTTGACACAAATGGTTCTTCAAGTTCCAGTTGTCTTTCTGAAGTTGGTCAATAATAAAAATTATAAAATCGAACAAATCTATATAAACCTACTAACTGACATTTTTTTGTATTTATAAACTGAAAGATGTTTAGAAAATCACTTGTATTAATTAAGATCGCTGTGTGGTTGGTATCAAAAACGGAAAATCCAGTAAAACTAAAGAAGTTATACAATGATAAATCTCCACTTAGTTTTAACTTAATTCATACATTTTTAACCTGAAGATATGATCAAATCAATAATATGCATACCGCATATAACTAACATGCTTGAATCCTGTATATTAAAGATTCCCATTATAAAAATTAGAACAACACATGTAAGCCAACAATTGTTTTCAATTAGATCGTCATCAGGTTTTACTCTAATATACATGAATATTTATACGAACAGCACACGCGATTAAGTTGGTCACATTCAAATCCTTCCTACACCTAATAACTCTCTTATCTCCACAACCAACCCTTTTCACGTCCCTTTATCACCTCACACCGCTGGAGCAAACCATTCGAGTACGCGGAACGTTATTCCTGGTCTCCTGAAACCACGCTCTAAACTACATGTAGGAACTTTTAACGTCTGAACATTGTGCCAAATAGGACAACAGGCCTTCTTAGTTAGGACTTTAAAATCTCGCACCATCGGTGTGTATTGCATCTCCAAAACGCGCATACAGGACCCGAGTAGCATCATTTATTTGACCTCACCATGTCAAAATAAAGAACCAACCTGATTCACGCTTCATGTATCTAGGAGCCCTGATGCTGCTTTCCGTGGCCTTGCTGGCGTAGGTATAGCATTGAGTCCTAGGGCGGAACTAGCTCTTTTAGACTGGATCCCAGTAGATAGCCGTCTGTGCGTTGTCCGACTAAACGGATCAGTAAGGACTCGGAAAGATAGGGAAACTCATCGTTGCCTCTTCGTCGTCTCTGCCTACTCTCCCACTGACTGCAGCTCAGACGATATAAAAGATGAGTTCTACAGGAGACTTTCCGACCTTCTCCGCAAAGCTAGGCGTTCAGTTGTAGTAATAGTGGCAGGTGACTTTAATGCTCAAGTAGGTAAACTAAGCGAAATAGAAAGACACCTGAGTGGATCTTATGGTGTCGTGGCTCAAAGAACATATAATGGCGACCGTCTGCTGCAGCTATGCTCGGATAACCGCCTGTTTCTTACAAATACTAACTTTAGGCACAAGGAAAAACATCTTTTGACATGGCGACCCCCGAATTTTTCCCAACGTCGGACCCAACTAGATCATGTCGCTATCAGCCACCGATGGAAGGGCTCGATAGAAGACTGTCGCTCATTCTGGAGCACGTGTTTAGATTCAGATCATGCTCTAGTGTGAGCACGTATCTGTCTGCATCTTATTGGACGTAGGAAGAACACTGCAAGGAAGCCTCTTAGGGTTCTACTTAAGAAGGATATATTTCAGGAACAATAGAAAAAGTTAGGCAGCCATGTAAGTTGTGCCCACCCCGAGGCAGCGTGGAATGACATCCGAAAAGCTGTGGAAACAGCACTGATATCTGCTAGTACGGTAAATCATAAGGTTAGGGAAAAACACTGGATCTCAGCAGCATCCACCGCACTGGCAGATGCTCAAAAACTCATCCCATCTGGCTCTGAACATACTAAATAATATTAAATTACGATGACAAAAGTCTTATCAATAGTTAGACATTGGAAATAGGATGTTAAACGTCGGTAAATAGACTTAGAATAGTCATCACGAAACATTAAAATCATTACGTAATTTGATATTCATACTACTATCAGTACACCTGTCTTCGCACTATCAACTTGTACTTTTAACTATTAGGCTCGGTGACGTATTCTCTTTTATTGTGATTATTGACTCAAATTGTCTTGATCGGTCTAACATTTTCGCATAAATATTCATGTATATTAGAGTAAAGCCTGATTGTTCGCTTATATGGAAATACTGGGTGATACCAGGAGGGCTTTATTCATTTTCTAGGTATTCGAACTTGAAATGAACTATCTCTGACTTCAATGAGCTTCGCAGAATTACATACTTGGGAGATTGAAATAAACAACGTTCTATTGGATTAACCGAAACAATGCCCCCAAATGCCCTGGTACGGCCGAGAGTGGGGAGAGCCCGCTCTCCCTCTCGAAATGCCCTCATATGGCCACGCGAATATATAGCCTCTGCCAGGAAAGTCCTACTCACTGTCTTCTCATGGCGGGGGTGTTGTTCACAAAAGTAAGAAGGACGAAAAGCGAATGTCCGGCGCTTTAACCGGGTTGGTGGATGTGGAGGATCCACCTAGGGGAGTTGGAAAACCCTGATTCCAAACCAATGGTGTACCTTGGCTCCAGTATCCTGAGGGAACAAATGGCGCACGAATCAATCGTTGATCACCGGCTACCATGGGAATGCATCTCCTCACGATGCTCCATTGCCTTGTGGATCAGATCTTTCGGTCAAAGGCTCCGAGTGTGGGCTCCTAAGAAAACCACCTGCTTCAGTTTGGGCACCTGGGTAGTATCACAGCCCTCAAGCAAATCGAATGAGATTTGTATGGCGCATATGTATCTGGTGCTTCCTTGTACCAATATTTATGTGTTTAAATAAATAATGAAACTAAACATATGCTCCAATTATAACTTATAACCTTAAGCCCAAATTGATGAGACCGATAGATATCTATAGCTAAGCACGTTGGTGCACTGTGAAGTGGTGGCTTAGTGGTTAAACAACCCCATTTCTTATCATTTAATTGTGGGCTTGAACCATGCTTCTGTTTAGGCCTAAAGCCCTGTACTTGATAAGTTATATAATGTTACTCGTCAATGCACTAAGCGAAGTATAATGGGCGTTCACAGGATGCTATTACAGTTACTGGGAACTAGAAAGGTTTTAAATCTGGTCGGTTTACCAATATGTATTTGATAGCATCCTCACTAGTGATACTCTTCTATATATGAACAGAACAAAAATTTATGCGAAAAGGAGTACATAATAAGTTTATGATCTTTCTGTGTAACACGCGTCTGAGTAAACTTGTCCAGTGTAGGTCAGTAACTTGAACGATTAATTTAATTCAATAACACGAGACTCTATATCTAAGTTAAACATATTTCACTTATTACCATACAAAGTGAAAAGAGCTTCAGAAACGCTTATAATAGAATACGTTTGATTTTTTACATTGTTTATATTTGATAGAGACAGTGAGAATTTCAGGTTGAATGATTACCAGGCTAAACCATCTCGCTTTTCAAAGGTCAAGTTGAGTGAATCATTATCTCAGTTAAATGCAAGAGCTTCGATTAAAGTTTTTCACTAAATGATATGTCTCAGATGTTGAGACCCTAGATGAGATTTTAATATGGCGTTTGATTATTTAGACACATCAGAGTTGTTTGGGTAGCTAATAGGGAATTCATGAGCACTAGTTCCACAGTTGAGATTATGTCATGTAAACATGTGTAATTTGAAATCTATTCGTAGGTTGCTATGATTTCCTGATACAGTCAACGAAGATCTGGTTTCGAGCATTCTTACTCTAATCCTAGTCAAAAAGATGCAATTAGTGGATGTGTACACAACTGCCACCTCTCTTCAACTAGTCATCAAGATTTTGCTTATTTTGTAGGATTACTAATGAATGCATAGTCAGTAAAATTGTCTCTATAGGCAAGTTAGTTTTAGTGAGCTGGTTATACTTAGTACCGGAAAGATATCAAACTATGTTAGATTAAAAGCTAATTTTGACCTAATGGAAAACATACATGAGGGGAACGTTTGATGCTTAGGCAGCTAATAACAGGCTCTCAAATGCTCTGGCGCAGCTCTCCGATTGGAAATGCTCTTAAATGGCCATGCGTATATAGTCTCTGTCAGGGAAGTTCTACTCACTGCCTTCTCGTGGCGGGGGTGTTGTTTACGGGACTGAGAGGACGAAAAGCGAATGTCTGGTGCTTTAAATGGGTTGGTTGATATGAATGATCCACCTAGGGGAGTTGGAAAACCCTGGTTCCAAACCAATGGTGCACATGGGCTTCAGGATCCTGAGAGAACAAATGGCGTTTGAACCTATTGTTGGTCACCGGCTATTATGGGACTGCATCTCCTTACGTTGCTCCACTGTCTTGTAGATTAGACCTTTAGGTCGAAGGCTCGGTGTGTCCCCTTAAGAAAACCACCTGCTTCCGTTTGGGCATCTGGGCAGTATCACAGCCCACACACAAATCAAGTGACATGTATGGCGCATATGTATCTGGTTCCCCTTTGTACCAATATTCATGTGTGCGAATAATAATAATCGATCGTTTTGAAGCACATCACATTAGCTTTACTTAAAAATGAGCAACCAAATAATTTTATGTTAGAACTATAGGCTATTCTTAGATAATGTTTTATCAACTAACTAGTTAGTTGGTATCAAAGATTCTAAAGAAAAGGTATAGTTTAAGTTTAAGAATAACTTTAAAAACGTTGCTATCTCCTTCATACCGTGGGTAACCTAATGTAGACCCAGTAACTACCTTTCATAAATAAGTAGGCCACGAAACATCCTAGACAAAGGAAAACACTTCGCAAACTTCCTTTGAACAACTCATATTCAGTTAATGCAAGACTATGCATACATAAGAAGTACTGACATTTAAAACTGGATTGTTCTACGAGGCAACTGGTTCACGATACCCAGGATAGTCCCACAAATATGTATTTCCACACTGGAAGAGGAGCTCAGACATGTGATGGTATCTTACCACTTATGCTATCAGATGGACTAGAAATAGGAAATGAAGACACTAACAAGGTTGTTCACGGTGGTATTTTGGTAAACTACTTTCCGTTAGTAATGGTGGAAAGAAGCCAATAACTGCAATGTTGGCATAATGATGGTGGATCCCACACACGTAAAAAGGTTGACTCACTACTCCAACATAACAAATTAGACAAGTTTGGAAGTCCTGAAAATGTCTATCTGTAGACTATACCAGCTCAACCTGATATGATTGCCACACTGGGGATGTTGCTTCATGTCACTAAGCCGGTTGGAACTTTTGAAAGGACTGAATCAATGGAAATGGCAATAAGATAGGGTTAGAATAAGATGCAAGTGAAAAAGTTGATAATCGTTGAAGTGCGTCCTAATAATACCGTCGTAATCCAAGTTATTGTAATGATTTATATCACTAGATCATAAATCAAATGTATTTATCTAAAGTTAAAATTATAAGGATTTAGAGGTTATAGTATGTAACTACTTCAAAACCTTAGTTAACTGCAAGATGACCATTACTAAAGGCTTTTGGATATTTTGAAGTAGTTTAAAACTTTGATCCACATAAATTTAGTGTTGTATGCTATATACTAGACCGCATTTGGGACATAAGATCCAATCAGTGAGCATTCGTTTTAAACGCACGGCATATACAGTGGGATTAAAATGGTAAAACGTTTCTTTCCGTCCTAAAACTAGCACATCCAACGGTATTGCTCAGTATAGAAGTTATATGACCTTTGTATGAATGTATTACTTGAATATGGTCTAGCAAAAACCTTTGAAAAATCATCTAATGTGGATATTAGAAAGGTTACTTTAGTATACTTATTACTAGTGAGTCCACAGTTCGACTCACCTCTGCAGTTGCTCTTCTATTTCATTGCACATTACGCTGAAGTTCGTGTCGAAATCTACATTTGATGGTACTTCTGTGATAGCATTGCTTTTACTGATTATTCCAGAATTAGTAAAACGAGGGATGTGCTTGTGTTCTACTGGTCGAGTCCCAATTTTACCAAAAGCAGCTAACTTTGAGTCAATCTCGCTCTCCAGTATTCGAGCTTGTATTCTAAGCTCATCCCAGGTCGAAGGGATCATACTATAATCGTTGATATTCAAATGTACGGATATCAAACCACGGAATACCGGCACAAAACATTTGCGCTGGCGACCAAACGCAACTGTTGATTGAGGCGCTCCAAAATATTCAAATCTCAAATTATGCGAATGATTTATGAGATCTGAATACTAGTTATCCAGTATCTGTAACAGCCTTTCATCGGAAATAATTTGTGAGATTGATATTTGAGGATGTTTGGGATAAGCATTTTTAATACTGATGATTCTTCAGTATTCATTAACAATAACCTAAGGATAGACGATCAAGCGACCTACATTAATCCTGTAGCGGCAACCAAAACCCCGAAAATTAATCGTTCTAAGCCTTGAACATTGATTCTGATCTCGTAAGCTTCACTGGACATATCTTGGCTGAAGGCACTTGGTCAATCACTCGCAACAGATCACGTTTGGGCACGTTATACTGGTCCTCTTTTACAACAACTAGTTGTAGCACGTTGTATTTCGACGTTTACTTGGGAGCAGGAGCGACCTGAAACAGCAACACAACAGTCAGAACAGACAAGGGCGTCTGAAGTGAGAACACGGTGTGATGGTGCAGCAGATATATTTTAAAAATTGAAAAACGCGGTTTTTAGTACAAAAGGGGAAAGTTATTACAAAATAGTTTTACTCGTTATTCTGCAGGTTCAGGCGGCGTAGGGCTTGTTCTTCTTCTTCCAGTGCATTCACTCTTTGTTGCCCTGCAATCAGAAATACAAACACACATTATTAATGTTGCATGTAATGATTTTTATTGCCGTTACACTACCCCCTCTCTCCCTGAGGCACTGTCCTCAGTGCCTGGTTGCGGGCATGGGTATGCTATTCCTCCTTCTGGTGGCACCTCATAATGGCTGGTAGCCGCCGGGGGGTCGACAAACGGGGTATCTGAGTGCACGGTTGTTTTATCTGGCTTCAGTTGGTTGTAGTGTGCTGTTAGAACGTCGTCTTGAGGTCGCTGGAGGTTGCGTAGGACGAATGTTGTAGGGGACCGAATAAATACGACTTCGTAAGGCCCTTTCCAAGATTGGTGAAACTTGCCGCATATTCCTGGTGGGGCAATAGGGCGATGTAGCCACACACAATCTCCAGGTTTATATACAGGCCCGTTCGCATGTCGATCGTACACATTCTTTTGGTGTTTGCTGGCATTTTGTAGATTAGCTTTAACCAGACGGTATGCGTCGGCTAGACGGCTACGAAGGTTACGGACGTATGGTACATAGTCTTGAGCTTTGAAGGGCAACAACGGCATTTGGATCTCTACAGGCAGGCGTAATTCATGTCCAAAGAGTAAAATCACAGGTGAAAATCCCGTGGAACCGTGAACTGATGCGCGGTAAGCTAACAAGCATTGGGGTATTGCATCATCCCAGCATTCCGTTGACGAATTATTGATGAACAACTGTAGGAGGGTTTTAATGGTTCGGTTTGTTCTTTCTACTAAGCCGTTACCTTCAGGGTGGTATGTAGTGGTATGTGTTTTGCGGATACCCAATAATCGGCATACCTGAGCGACGAGATGGCTTTCAAAAGCTGTACCTTGATCGGAATGGAGTGAGAATGGAGCGCCATAACGGGAGACCCAATGCTCAATGAAAGCTCGAGCGACCGTGAGGGCATCTTGTTGTGGTATAGGGACGGCTTCACACCATTTGCTAAAATAGTCCACCATCACCAGTATATAACGATTTCCGTTCTTTGATGTTGTAAGTGGCCCCATGATATCGATACCGACTCGTTGATGTGGACCTTCTGTCGTCATTGGGACTAACGGTGCACGGGGTCTTTGCTGAGGTGACTTGATGGCATGGCACGTGCTCCAATTTTTGCAGAATTCAGTCACGTCTTCATGGATGGATGGCCACCAAAACCTCTGGCAGATCGCATGTTCAGTTTTCCGTTTCCCCGAGTGCCCGAGTTCTCGATGCACCTGCTCCATAATATTTTGAACTTGCACACGTGGTACTATCAACAGTGGTTGTTTCGACTCGCTGACTATAAATAGTGTGTCCCCATACCATCTTAGGCTACTCCACTTGGTACAAAGACGGCGCGTCGCTGGGGAATGATCCTTTAACTCTGCTGCAGAAGGTTTATCGTTTCCGTGTAGTTGTCGTAGGTAAATGAACCGCAGGTCAGGGTCTGATGCTTGAAGAGACGGCCAGTCGATCTCTGGAGCTGTGCTAAGGACAGCACTAATGGTACCAGGAGCATAGGGTATACGGGACAGAGAGTCGGCGTTTGTGTGACGGCTGCCTGGTCGGTATTCGCAAGTAAAATCAAACTCCTGTAGTCGCTCTTGCCAACGTGCCACTTGGTCTTCTGGTTCGCGGAAGGAGCGGAGCCATTGTAATGCACGGTGGTCTGTGCGTACGCGGAAAGGTTTACCTGGTAAATAATGGCGGAAATGTAAGAATTTTACTAATGCTAACATCTCTCGACGCGTTGTCGAATATCTTGTTTCGCTCTTATCCAGTCGACGGCTAGCGTACGCAATGACTCTTTCTTGCCCATCTGGGGCCACTTGCGATAGAACTGCTCCAATAGCGGAGGAACTGACATCCGTATCAAGTATAAATTCTCCCCCGCTTGCTGAGGTATCCGGAACGGCTAATATGGGTGGAGAGCTTAGTCGTGTCTTCAATGCATCGAACGCTTGTTGACACTCTGTAGTCTATAAAAATTTTCGTCCTTTGTGCGTCAAACGATGTAAGGGTGCTGCTAACGATGCAAAGTCACGGACAAAGCGTCTGTAGTAAGAAGCTAGGCCAAGAAAGCTACGAACGTCTTCAGGTGATTTGGGCTGTGGCCAATTAACAATGACACGTGTCTTTTCTTTATCGGTGCCTACTCCATCTGCAGTAATACGATGTCCTAAGAAAACTACTTCTTTCTGCAACAGGCGACATTTGGATGGTTTTACTTTTAGATTGTGTTGTTGAAGGCGATGGAGAACTGCTTTCAGATTAGCATTATGTTGCTCGGGTGTGCTACCATACACAATAATGTCATCGAAATAAATCAAACATTTATGAGGTACTATATCGTGTAAAACTGTTTGCATTAATCTTTGGAAAGTAGCTGGGGCATTCGTTAGACCGGAAGGCATTACTTGGAATTCGTATAAACCATTTGGCACTACAAATGCGGTTTTCTTTCTATCTTGTGGTCTGACTTCCACCTGACAGTACCCTGATGCTAGGTCTAACGTTGAAAACCAACATGCACCACCCACAGCGTCTAATATAGAATCGATTCTTGGAAGAGGAAAAGAGTCACGCTTAGTTATAGCGTTAAGGCGTCGATAGTCTATGCAGAGTCGGAGAGAGGAATCTTTCTTTTTAACGAGGATGATAGGTGATGCCCAGGGAGATGATGACGGTACTATAATATTCTTGTCAAGCATATCCTTAATCATCTTATCCAGCTGTGGTTGATAGTGTACTGGCACTCTACGAGGCGGTTGCCTAAGTGGCCTGTGGTCCCCCGTGCAAATGGTGTGTTGCACCGTACTCGTGCGATTGCCAGAAATATCCTCTTCGAATACCGAACTAAACTGTTGAAGCACGGCAATCGTTGCATGGCGGTCTTTCTCTGTTATTATTCGGTTGCCCTGTACTTGCCGCACTAGGTCTGAGATCCCCACATACAACACGGCTTTAAATGACGTGTCAGTATGGTGCAAGCGTATTCTAGTCTCTCCAAACTTTGCTTCCAATCTGTCCATGAATATACACGCTTGATGTTCCAACATGAAATCAACTCCAAGTATCATGTCCCAAGTCAATGCTGGACAAACTAAAAATCCGTGCCGGAACGGATGTTTTTCTATCATTAGATCCAACCATACTTTAGAGTCCACTTTTAGTGGGTCCCCGCTTGCCGTGAGTAGGGTGGATGGGCAACGCGTTTGTTGGACCTTGTGGTTAAGTCTTCTTAAAAACTCGTCATTAATTAGGGATGCCGAAGCTCCTGTATCTAATAAAATTTCGATATGGACACCCTGCACTCTACCCTTAATCGTAATGGGGCGCATGTGATTAACATAAGAAGACAAATGGAAAAAATACGGCTTACTTGGGCTACCAGAGCAGTTATGACCACATTTCCTTGCGTTTTTGCCAAATCGTCGGCAGTATGGGCATTCGGCTTGGGGACCATGATAACTGTTCGGTGATCTCCATTTCTTCTCAGGTGGACTTGATTGCCGTCGACGGTTGCTCCAGTTGGCAAATTGAGTAACGTTCTGAGAGTTCTGCTGGCGACTAGTTTTTGCGGGTTGTGCCACTGCCATCACTGCTGGTTGGTGCATGTCTGATGGGCTTTTCAGCTGCTCCGCTGCCATGAACCGGAATGTAGTTTTTTTAAGGCAGTTATGTCTGCTGGAGGATTTAGGATAAAGTGTTTCTTTAAGGAGCTGGATCTTAACACTTCCACGAACCGAGACTTAATCAATTCATCTCGTCCAGTGGCATCAAGACAAGGGAACGCATGCACAGCCATTTGTTGCAAAGAATTAAAATATTCTATTGGATTCTCGCCGGGTGTTTCATGTCGTGACAAAAATCGGATGGCTGCTTGTTGGGGATCCACCGGTATCGAAAAACAATCGTCGAGGATCTTCCAGTTCTGAGCGAGAGTGTTGTCCGCCGCAAACCCATTGAAAATAGCTCTCTTGGTAGCTTCGTCGCTGAGGTAGGACACGAGATAATCGAAATGTTCTGAGGTTGGAACTTTACGAAGATATGCTGTGACTTTGAACTTCCACACTGTATAGTCTGACGAGTTCCCCAGGAGTGGCGGTTGACGGGGAGCTGAGCCTGTTGCTGGCTTGACTGGAATCACCGGCGGTTCGTTCAGGTTCTCATCGCATTTTTTAGTGAACACCTCCATCACCAGTTGTAGCACGTTGCATTTCGACGTTTACTTGGGAGCAGGAGCGACCTGAAACAGCAACACAACAGTCAGAACAG